TTGATAGTACTCAAGGCAGCTAACAAAAAATTAAAAAGTAACAACAGAATATATGAAAGTAAAACACAAAATAAAATTAACAGTAAAATAAGTCCTAACATTATTTAATTAAACATCTAAAGTAAGAGATACATTTGATGTTTGAAGTTTTTTTTAAAAAAATAGCATTTGAATAGAGCCTACATGCAACTTCTGAGAGAATGCATGTCATAGTGTGAGAACAATACAGGGGATTGTCATACATGCAAGAAACATAGATCTTTAACAGCAGATCTATTTTCAAAAGAAATCTCTTAACAGCTGAATGGGTTCATAACAGAGAAAAGGTCCCTTAAATAGCTAGGCTCGTTCCCCAAGATCTTCTGATAATTCATGAGAAACCCAGGCCCCATTTTTATTTATATTTAGTGGCGAATTTTATTCTGCACTACAGACTTTTCTTTGAAAAAAAGGTGTTATAGGAAACTGATTCATTTTAGCTACAGAGAAGCTTACCATTATAGTCCCAGCCAATGTCAGCAGGAACCTCAGTAGAAAATAACCTGAACACTGACTTCATGAAGAGCAATTCATCTCTTCAGACTTTTCTTTTTCAGTGATTTCTAAGCATGCCCACTTATCCCATTATCTATGTCAGAAGGAAAACAGTATTACAGTATCGCTGGTTGTGATTTGTATCTATGATGATTTTTTTTTTTTCGGTGCTTAACCAAATCCTTTCTTAACTGCTTCTCATTCCACTTTGGAAGAGTAAAGCATTTGATTCTTCAATTTTATGCTAGTTTCCTATGTGAGGGCTTTTCGTTCAGTCCTAGATGATGATCGGATATGAAAACCAAAACCAAAATGTAAGACACTGAGAATATCACTTCTAATGAAGACCTCTGCACTAAGGATTTTTATGCATTTAAAATAAAATATAAAATAATAATTCTAAACATTAAATCTATGCCTTGGGCCCATTATAGTCAGGATTGCATGGTACAATTAGAAGACTTAATCAAATGAAACTCTGATTAATTAGTGAACATCAATTGTAATCAGTACTAAAAAAAATTAGGAGTTTAAGACCAGATTTATTTTTTTAAAAAAAGACCATCTTGGTTCATGTTTGTAGGACATCCTTGATATTATATCTTGAGGAGTAAGGTAAAGGAGTCCCTGTGAGTTGTACTCTGTTAATTGTAGTGGACTTTAGGGGGTGGTACTCATCTCCATTTCTCAATCTTGAGTAGAGTGCTAATATATAGAATAAAATAGAATAGAATTCTTTATTGGCCAAGTGTGATTGGACACACAAGGAAATTGTCTTGGTGCATACGTTTTCAGTGTACATAAAAGAAAAGTTACATTCTCCAAGAATCATAAGGTACAACACTTAATGATAGTCATAGGGAACAAATAAGCAATCAAATCCTATTAGAAAACAGTCAATATAAATCTTAAGGATACCAGCAACAAGGTTACAGTCATACAGTCATAAGTGGGAGGAGATGGGTGATATGAATGATGAGAAGATTAATAGTAATGCAGACTTAGTAACTAGTTTGACAGTGTTAAGGGAATTATTTGTTTAGCAGAGTGATGGCGTTCGGGGAAAAAGGTTCTTGTGTCTAGTTGTTCTGGTGTGCAGTGCTCTGTAGCGTCGTTTTGAGGGTAGGAGTTGAAACAGTTTATGTCCAGTATATATCAGCAAAAAGCCCCATCTGATCCAGTGTTCTGGTCCCCAGGTGATTGCTAGTTATATGAGAAACCTGCAAGTGAAAGACTCATAGTGGCTTTACAAATGCAATAGATAAACAAATGAAGCAAGCAAAGTAGCATCCTCCTACCAGATTCCTTCCAAATGAGATATCACTGTACTGAAGGTCATATATGCTTGCTGTGACTATTGAAACTATCATATTTTTTTCTGATTCTTTTTCAAAGCCATCCAAGTGTGTGGATATTACTGGTTCATGGAGTAGGATGTTGAAGAAACTGACTATAGTACACTCGGTGAAAATTATCTAAAACACTAACCCTTTACTCTCCTTTGTCTAATCCCTCAATTCTTAAGTATATTTAGAATAGCCTACTCCAGAACATAGTAAATTTGAAATCTTCAAAATATAGACAATTTTATTATAAATAAATAAATAAATAAATAGTATTTAACAATATTGAATCATATGAAGCAATAAGTTACTGTAGTCCTGTAAAATGTCATCATTTAGGACAGTGATGGAATTCAAATTTTTTTATTACCAGTTCTGTGGATGTAGCTTGGTGGGCGTGGCTTGGTGGGCATGGCAGGGGAAGGATACTGCAAAATCTCCATTTCCACCCCACTCCAGGGGAAGGATACTGCAAAATCCCCATTCCCTCCTCACTTCTGGGGGAAGGATTTTGCAAAATCTCCATTCCCACCCCACTCTGGGGCTAACCAGAGGTGGTATTTGCTGGTTCTCTGAACTATTCAAAATTTCCGCTACCAGTTCTCCAGAACCTGTCAGAACCTGCTGAATAGCACCTCGATTTAGGATTAGAATAGTGAAATAGTTTCTGTGCAAAACAAAACAAAAAAACCTGTAAAGCGATATACCTGTACCCTTCTAAGGGCTATTACTGGGTTCAAGTAGCTCTATCTGGCTTATCCTGCAGCTGTCACCAGCTCTCTGGAGCCATCTATTTTAACGTCCTATATCATAAACTGTGTGAAGCAGATGTTGATCTGTATATAACACTCATAATAAAGTTCTGGCATTGTGTAATTCACACATAATGGCCTTATTGTGTTGAAGCAGAATCGGGATTATGTTTTTAGAGTTGTTTTCGATATTATTTCCCCAAAGTTCCACATCCCCATTTGCATAGCAGTGCTGAATATTATTTTGCTTTTATAAAAGCTATTTTATAATACATTTCTTTTTGTGATTTTTAAAGATCAATGCCTGGTGAGATTTTTCATGGTAGAATATGGTATTTATTTATTTTTTTGTACTCAGGTACAAGTTGATGCATGTATATGTGTGAGTGTCCTGTCTTCATTTCCAAAACTCTTCAGAAGTTTTCAGGTTCTCTTTCTTTAACAAGTTGGAAGAAAATATATTGTGACAGAACTCCTCAGATGGGGTTTTTCAAATCAGAGACTTGGTAGGTAAAGAAGAAATATAGTGACCCCCCCCCCAAAAAAAAAAGAAGAAGCAACACTAGCATTCCCAGCCATCAAGCAAGAGCAAAACAAGTTCTAAAATAACCTCCTAAAATTCTAAATAAATAATAAAGCTTTGAGAAAAACAAAGCCTTCCTTTGTGGCAGGAGAAAATGGTCAGGAAATAAATTATGTTATGGTTTGCAACAGAACCTTTATGTAGAAGGAACTAATGTTTGGGCATTTGCATGCCCAGCCAGCATCCTTCATTATTCATGAGCAGCTGCTTGTGAGGGTTTCTTTGCAAGCAATCATGGTCTGGGTGTCAATATAGGGCATCAGTGAGGGGACATCGGGGACAAAAGTAAAAGCTAATCCTAATCCAGGTAAAGCCTTCAACCAAGGCTAATGCATCATAAAGCTTCTGTCAACAGTACTGCATTCCATTATGATATTGTCTTTCAAAGTTCTGTCACGCTTGAAGTGCCTGAGGCTAAAATATTTTAAGGCATATTTTGAAATCCAAATTTCCTATAAAATAGGTCACTATATACATATTGAAAAGCACCTTTCCCTCCAAATGTACATCTTATTTTGATATGCTAAATAGGCTGGGAACTGTATTGTGATATTCACAATCATGTTAAAAATAGTTGTATTGATGTATATAATACTGTACGTTCAAAAACAGGCTGTCATGGTTTAAAATAGAAAAGACACCATCTCCAAGTGCATTTCTCACTCAGTCCTGCATACATTTGTGATATGGCTCCATTAATTTTGGGATTGTTGCCTATAAAATATGTAATTAGAGGCCCCGGACAGCAGAAGAATGCCCATTTTTGAAAAAAGACATGAATGGCTTTTTTTTATTTTAAATTTACTTTCTATCCCTCAAGAAAATATCCTCTAATAAACACTATATAATTAACTATTGCATTATTTAAAAGAAAAGAAACATTTCTAAAATATGCCAATTCATCAGTAAAATATGCCAATTCATTATATAGGATTTTATCTCCTATATATTATCTCCTAAATGTCAGGGTTTCCATGGATGCCCTAATTAAATCATGAGTCTTGAGCCAAGCTTCAAAAGAAATCTAGGTATTTATTAGGAGCTTCATGTCGGCACGTTCCCAAGTGAAGCCAGCTCTTACCCTACGTAATTTACCCTCCAATTATGTCCCTGTTTCCCCCCCTCCCCCCAGGGTGTGTCATCAATCACATTTGCCAACGGAGCAATTTTGCGGGTTGTAGAGGTCACTCCCCTTTGACTGCTGCAGGTATCCATGGGATACAGCCTTGAGGGAGATAAGCGTGGAATGTGTACCTGTTTTTTTTTTGCTGTTGTACAGTTTTGCCAGTTTCCCATCCCCCCTGGCCTATGGCAACTTGAGAGCAGGCCAGGGATGCTTTGCGAGTTGACACTAAACCTTATCTCCTAAATTTAGAAAGAAAACTGGGGCTCATTTTTTTTTTCAATATTTCAAAGCTATATTATCTTTTGACCTTTTTTTTCTTTTTGAAAGGCTATATTTCCTCCCTGTTTTGCCAGGAAGAGGATTTAATCTTTTTTTTTAAAAAAAAATCTTTTCTCAAATACATATCATCCTTCTGTTCCAATACTTATGAATGCCTCCTCTGTTTTCTCCTTGAGCAAACCCTGATTTTTATGAACCAGAAGTCTGTTCAGAATGCCTCTGAAAATATTTCACCTTCAGGGAAAAAGAAAGGGTAATTAAATAAATAATTAAATAAATAGTAATATAGGACTTGCCTTAACTTCTGTTCGTCAGTATTACATCAATCACAGATTAAGTGACGTTTTCTCTGCAGGCTTCCTCCTATTTCCTTGACTGAAGGAGCCCTTTACCCCTTTGTTGGGTTTCATGAGTCATTTTCTTCCCATTGCATCTCCTCAGGCATTCTCAGAGGGTAACCTTAAGTCCTTTGGTTGTACAGTTGTGAAAGGTGCAATTTGACAATCACTGACTGAATTAAATTAACAGGAAGTACTCTGTTCTTTTAAAATGCCTACATAACTTTTTATTTATTTTTTTCTATTATTGCTAAATGAGAAAGAGAGAAAATGAGAGAAGGGAGGAGAATGGAAATGAAAATGAGTGGGCTTCCTGGTTGTTTGGTTTATTCAGGTGGATGATTATTGTAATTTTGTTCATATTGCTGACAGCAAATAAAAATGGCATTTGACTTTATGACTTCAGAATGAAGTGGAGGATTCACTAGATGTGAATTGTTAAAAGTGTATATCTGAGGGATGTTAACACCTGTGGATGCCTTTAAATGCAAATTTTAATCCAGATATAATACATTGTCCTTTATCTAGAATCAGTTCTAATATTTCAATTTCAACCCATATAAAAGTCAGAAGCAATAACGATAGCACTTAGACTTCAATACCTCTTCACAGTGCTTTACAGTCCTCTCTAAGCGGTTTACAGAATCAGCCTATTGCCCCCAACAATCTGGGTCCTCATTTTACCCACCTTGGAAGGATGGAAGGCTGAGTCAACCTTGAGCCTGGTGAGACTCAAACTGCCAAATTGCAGGTAGCCGGCAGTCAGCAGAAGTAGCCTGCAGTACTATACTCTAACCACTGTGCCACCGCAGCTCAGGGTGTACTTTTAACAACAATACTGTCAAGGATTATGGTTCTGTTCACATTATGTTTATTAAAATAGAGAAGACTTAATGTAGTAGATGGCTTTTAGACTATTGGTATATCTAGCCTCTTACTTTGTGTGGCAGCAATAATCTTGGGAAAAGAGATTTTTTTCCCCATATCTCATTCATGTTTTCTGTAGCTCTTCCTTTATAAGAGTGGAATTTTTACCAACTGTCTGTTTCTAGAAGAGTTAGTGAGTTGATCTGGTTGATGGAAACATACTCAAATTGCAATTCATGCAGACATAATAATAGTCTTACTTCTGTTGGATAATTCTCTTCCAGGGTGGAATCAGTTTAATAAGTGGTTGATCACATCTGATGCGGAACTGCCATTTCTAGCAAAGTCTGGAGAAGTAAAGTAAGAAAGAAATCACATTTGAAATCCCTAGGTAACTTTGGTTATGAATAGGAGAGCCAGGTTTTTCATCAGCTTTTATGTACTTCATTTCTCATAAGAAATTGGCATTTTTCTAAAAATAGGTGATCCATCAGCTTTACATTATCCCATATGTCATTTTTGAAACAATTTATTCATCCTATTTATGAATGTTTAAATGATTTTGGTAAATTCATATCAGAAAATGAAGGAAGGGAAGATTATGCAGGTATCTAGCCTGAATAATATTGCAGTATTGTTTTTCTGCAGCATACAGTTTAGGAGCTTGCTGGTTTAAGGAGATCCCGCCTAGCAAAGGGTTCTGTGTTATGAAAAGCACTGCACTGTGCTTTACCCAAGGGTGAAATCCAGCAGGTTCTGACAGGTTCTGGAGAACCGGTAGTGGAAATTTTGAGCAGTTCAGAGAACCAACAAATACCACGTCTGGCTGGCCCCAGAGTGGGGTGGGAATCGAGATTTTGCAATATCCTCCCCCCAGGAGTGGGGTGGGAATGGAGATTTTGCAGTATCCTTCCCCTGCCACGCCCACCAAGTCACACCCACCAAGCGTCACCATGCCCACCAAACCCAGAGAATTGGTAGTAAAAAAAATTGGATTTCACCACTGGCTTCACCCACAATCTCTGAATTTTTAAATCTGGCAATGCTTCGGTGTGCTGCAGATAAAGATTTTATAAAGATAAATTTAAAACAGTACTGTGTATTTCTTCCCAAGGGAGTGTGAATAAACATTTTGTGCCACATCATATCATCTGTGTCCTGTTTGCATTATAGGCAACATATTTAAAGCTGCCAGCATACAGTCTTGATGCATTTTTACAGCCTACAGTCTTGAAGCTAAGGCCAGGAAATGTTCCTTCTTTGCTGGAACCCCTATACTTAGAACAGCCTATCCCCTGAAGTAAGAGTTGCTTAAACTCTAACTACCTTCCTGAAGATTGTTGTTCATCAACAATGAATTTGATATAAAAAAAATGGGTTTGTTTTGCTTATTATTTATTATGGATGTTTTTCTGTTTTCTCATTAAATTCTCTGCCTATAGAACTTGTTTAGGGTGGCAAGGCTAACATTCTTTAGGTCATTTACTCCCTTAGAGTCAGCTTTTTCAATGTGGACGATTGAAAAGTTTTGCCCTTCTGGTGTAATGTTACATATCTTGACAACTCAAATGCAGCTCAGCTCAGCTATCATCTTGAAGTGACTTAAATCAAACTGAATTTCTATCCAATTTTGAAAAACGGATTTAAATCAAATCATGCAATTTTTGACTCTCCAGTTTTAATTAAATCAGGAGATATCTATGGTTTTATTGAGAGCTATTGTTGTGTAGTGGTTAAGATATTTGGCTAGAAACTGGGACACCCTGAATTTTAGTGCCCTCTTAAGCACAAAGCCAGCTGAGTGACCTTGGGCCGGTCACTTTCTCTCAGTCCTAGGAAGGAGGCAATGGAAAACCACATCTGAAAAACTTTGCCAAGAAAACTGCAGTGATTTGTTCAGGCAGTCTTAGAGAATTAGACATGAATGAATGGGGGGGAAATGGTTTTAATGAAGTGCTTTTCTCTAAAACTAGATTGATTTATTTTCAAGCTCTCCATATAGTAAAAATGTGTGGAAAGGAAATGGTATAGAATTGATTGGTTGATTTACATTAGCTTTCTTTTTTGGAACAAGATTGTTCCCAAACAAAATACTTTTATTTTTGGTTGTGGGATATAGCAGAGCAGAGAATTACGTGCTTGCTTGAAAATGCTGGATTTGAAGTTTTACTTTTTCTGCCATTGTTTGGCAGTTTTCAGTCCCGTTCCATTTCATTTTTGTAGCTTGAATGCTTGTTGAATAAAACATACTTTATTTAAAACTGTAATTCATTATCTGTAATAAAAAGAGCTGTCTTGTCCAAAGATAAATGGATGCAGATATAGATGTAAATAGAGAAAACTTGCCCACACAAATCGTGAAAAAGTAAGGAGGAAATAGATTATTCCCATTCTCCGATTGGATTAATTTTTTTGGAAATTTTGTGTATTTTTAGGGAGAACCAAATGTGTGCTGTATATTGTTTGCATATCAATTGCTTAGAAAAAATATTATATGCTTTTGGGTCAATACCAGTTTGAAATTATTGGTTTTGTGCATAAAGGTCAGAGCTTATTCATCTGAAGTATGGTACATCACTGTTTTCTTGGGGAATGAATTTTCCTTAAATAATATAAAGCCAAGAAACAATAAATCAATAAACTAATAAAAAATAAAGCACTTAATTTTTCCTGAAATTTTGCAGACTTGATTTCCATAGAAGTTGATAACATCGGTATGAGATAAATTTTAACTTTAAATAACCATTCAGACATTCAAGAACCCATATAATTATTACTTGTTTTTATAACTGATATTCCCATCTATTTGATTGTAGTTCATTCTAGATGACTACTTATAACATTTAATCAAATAAGATCATAATTCCTGATTTTGGAGCATATGGGGTTAGGGTTACACCTCACAGTATCTAGAGTTCTTTTCATTCCTGTCTGGCCTTTTCTATCATTACTCTTTTATTTCACTCTTATTCCACTTAGCTTATAACAACTTCTTTGCTCTAAAGGCTTCTTCTCAAGCTGTTTTATAAGCCCTATGAGTCTGTATCCATACCTGTAGCAGGATAGCGACCTCAATTTTTCCCTGAAAGAATCTGAAAAGTATTCACTGGACTGACATATACCTTGACAAGAAATTGGAGGGAACTGGCAAAAAGCCCAGATGTCAGGTATAGCTTTTGGGATCTTAGCAGGCAGAAATATGGGATAAAAATAAATAAATAGAGGGAACAGGCAAAGGAGAATTGACCAAGCTGCAACATTCAGCAGGTAACAAATAGTTTCCCTTCACAAAGTGTTTGTACCATTGAGTTTCTGCTGTAAAATGAAGGCTGGCTGTGCTTCCTCCTGGAAAAGTGCTAAAGTCATGCTCCCTCTAAGTGATAAACTTGGTACAGAGTAAAACCTTTCCCCAGGAGGTGTGTTATTGTGAGTTGCTGCAGCAGAGCAAAAGGAACATTTATCTCCATAGAGGCAGCATTTGACTCTTTGTGGTTCATACAAATCTCTTTTAAAGCCATTGATCGCCACTGTCATTGCTATTAATGGAAGCAACAATGCAGAGCATATTCGTAAAAACATGGATGGAAGAAGGAAAAGAGTAAGATATATTCTCCACGAGTCCTCCAAATTCTGTAAGAGATTTAAAGATACTAGAAGAGAAAAAAAAAGTTGGCTGAAAAGAGCAAGGAACCACTCTATTTGACCTGCTGATTAGAGCAAGCTTGAGGTAATCAGTAAAGTGAGCATGTGCTATCACCAAAGAACATGCAGGGTAAGCCCATAAAGTCAATTTGTCCAAAGATTTGTACTTGGACCAGTCCCAAGACTCCAAATAAATGTACTCTCAGTTCATCAATCTAAAATTTGGAAAGCTAGTAAGTTTGATGCTGTTAAAGCATTTTATATATATCTCATGTGAATTTGAGAAGAGATGAAAAAATTTAAAAGTTGCATGCATCAGCACTTTATAACTGAACCCCAGAAGTATTTATTTAGACAGGAAAGAGCATCAAAGTTATAGAGAAGCTATAATAATCATTCTTATAGACACAACTGACAATTTCCATGTGATAGATAAACTCTTCTTTCTTACTTGCACTGAAATCCTATAAAATCAAAGTAGTTTGTTTTAGTTCCATCTGCAATTAAATTTACTTTCTATGAACCATAAAATACCTCTTATCCATCCCATTCCAGATTTGGAGGACCATTAAGGAAGATAAGATAATATGTAGATACATCATGTTCCATTTTGGGCTTATAGTATGGTTGTAGAGAAAATGGAGAAACCAATTGCACAAATAAAAATAAACATATTTTTAGGCAAAAGGTCTATGTCAGATACTGCTCCAAATACTGCTTTATTTTTATTTGTGCAATTTTACCTTAAAATAAATTTGTGATATTATTACTATATTTTATGTTAGTTTCACTGTCAGCCAGATGTTGAGACTAGATTTGGCATTTTGCTCACCTATCAAACCTGGAATAATCAGATGTTGATTTTTAATAATAATTAAAGTTTCATCACAAGATTGAAAAGTTTGACATCCAGGCCTTTATATTTAGTTATTTTCTACAGGACTTTTTCTTCTGTCTCCAGGTATTGCAATGTCCACTATTCATACTTCTTTGTCTTTTTTTTTTTTAGCAATAATCGTTAGGTCTAAGGATGCTGGGTGGCAGGTGCTTATGTGTTTGAATTCTAAAGTCCCAAAGCACTTTGGTTTCTTCATTTTCTATAACTTTGTATATGTTGTGGTCTCACCAGTTCTTGCTTACAGGCAAATGGTATTTCTTATAGATATTCCAATACACTATTGTTGCTACTCTGCCATGACATTGTTTGTAATTAATCTGTACTCTCTTCTTGCAGAAACTAACTAGGTGCTCCACTGGTTTTTTTAGTTTTTTTGAAGAAACATTTTCTATCTTTTGCTGTATTCTCAATGATGGCTTTATATACATTTATTATTAAATGTATATTTATTCTTAAGCTTTGGTGTTGCGCAACCAGAATTAGCCGCTCTCTCTTTTTTCAGTTTTTCTGCTCTTAGCCATTGCCAGGTCTTCTTATCTGTTTCACCTGATAGATTTTTTAGTGTGCTGACTATGTAATACTTTGCCTTGTCATGTCTCTTTTCTAACTTTCATTTGGTCTTCCTTATCAGACAGTTTGGTCTCTTCGGTATTCATTAAGCCTTCCTGGTATACTAGCTTCAGCGCATTTTCTTCGATGTCCTTCAGATATTCTTTCAATACCCCCTTTTCTTCTTCAAATATCTGGTGTACTTGTAATATTCCACACTCACCTATTTTCCTTCCTAAGTAGAGTCTGTCAACATTG